AGCAATGCTTCCCCCCACCCTCCCAGGCCTCCCCCCCGGGACAAGCTGCTCGTGGCTCCGTTCCCCACTCCACCCCAGTTGTGCAGCCCCCTGCCTCTGTCCCACTCCCTCCCTCACCGCGGGGGCCTCAGTGGGCACCCCCTCCATACCCCTTCCCTCACAACAGACTTACCAGTCAGACCTGGCTGCTCTCCATGCTACCAGGTTGCACTTCTGACTGTCTGTGTGCTGCGCTGCAGCTGTGCATACGTCGGCCAAAAAAATCCAATTGCCAATATACTCAATTTTCCTTATATCAGTGCCAATCCAATACTGCAGGGGTTTTCAACCATTTTGGGTCAGTGTACCCCCTGAGGCCTTCCCAAGTACCCCCAGGGATATGCGTACTTCCAGTTGAACACAGCTGCAATATTGGACCGATGTATCGGTCTACCTCTAATGTCTTCCTGAATAACCTGTAGGTTTTTTTTCTAAAACTAGCCAGTCAAGCAATGGAAACTTCTCTATGATGTTAAACTCTGCTAAGGTCTTTCATTTAATTTGCATCAGGTGCTACAACTTTGAGCTCAGGAATGGGGGACACCATTTACCCAAAGCTCTGTTTCTCTTTCCCTGATCAAAGCATAACATAAAAAAAAATTTCCCTGAAGAGGATGGTGGTTATTATCTTGTTTTATGAACCACCATAAAGTTTGAAAAACAAGGCCATCTTAAAATGGGAGCTGTGTTCTGGGTAACCTGTTAAATTGTCTCTCTTGATAAGGTGAATGTAAAATAATCTTCCATGTCACCTCATCTTCCTGTTGTTTCACATCTCCATCCTACATCTGTCTAAAATTACAGAAAGCTGGTGAGCTAGGGTGCTATTTACCTTGTCCATAGATTGTCTGGGGGTGGGTGGGATTGAAGGAAACCCCCCTTTGCTGAGTCAAAGGAGAGATTAAGAATTTCCCTGTTGCCAGGAGCTAGTGGAGCTGCAAAATCTCCCCAAAGAACAAAGTGAGCTAATGGGTACTTTTCCATAAATGAGTCAATGAGAGATTCAAGATCTGTCAGAAATCTATTAATTAAAGCAGAGTCCAAGGGCAAGGGGGAATTAAACATTGAGGGCTTTTAAAGGAGGTTTATGTCAGAAGGCCTGAAAACCAGATGTTAACATGGTAGTTGTGACATTTAACATAATGGAGACAAGGGGCCAGCCCAGTTGAACATCTACCCCTCTTAGCATGCTTAATGTATCCTTCTCAAAAGGATTCAGACCTTGAAGGGAAAGTCTCATTCTAGGAAAGTCAAGTTTGTAGAAGGAAAACTAAATAAAATGCAGGTTTCCCAACAAAGAATTGGATTGCAACAGTTTAGGTGAAGCTAGATAGATGAGATTTGTCGATGTCTTAGCAGCGTTTTAGCTGTTGCATGGGATGGAACAGAGTTTCATTTAGTCATTTAGACACCTAAAAATCATGTAAATGTCCCTTAGGCATCTTCAAAGTGGAATAGGTTCTGGGCTGTATTTATTCTTCAGAGTCACTACAACTAATCCCTAGTTCTTAACAGCGTAGTGATGGATAGTCAGGGTAGGTTTTGTGCCAAGTGTCCTGATGCTGTTAAGGTTATTTGTGAAGTTTTTACTAATCTATTTTCTCCATGAGTTAACTTGTGGTAAAAAATGTTAAATTTTAGGTATGGAAGGGGTTTTCCCAAGACTTCTTAGCAATTACAAATATGTGGTCTTCTTGCATGTCCAATAGAAGTTGAAATCTGCAGCATGCCCCCCCCACTGTCTGTTGCCATCAAAAGATTACATAATGGGCTGTAAAAACTAATAAGTTGATTGTAGGTGGCACTGATGTATGTACAGTGAAGGGACTAGAACGGGAAATTCCAAGCACTAGTTCCTTGGTCATATCCCTTTGATGTGACCTAACTTTTAGAAATATCTTTGATGTTCTGAAGAATTGCAGAGCATTTCTAGAGTAGTTGTACTCACCAATACCTAATGAATGCATATTTACCTTTTTTCCCTTACATGGTATATGCTTGGCCTGAAAACAGTCAAGCAGGGTCTACAAGAGTTGTTTAAATGATTAGGATTATGTTTTATAAGGTCAAAGCAACCTCAGCTCCCTGTAGCCCCGGTGAGAGATGCAGATGCTCAGCACCTCTTGTCATTCACAACTTGGGAGGATCTGACTAACTGTGCTCTTCACTTATCCCAAGTCACCTGGCCCTGAAGTTGTTACATAATAATAGTCTGCAGAAATCATCTGCCAGTATGCTACCTGCCATCTCCTTTTATCTAACTATTATATATTCATACCATTGCAAAATAAGGATGTTAAAGAAAAGACTTGTGTAACTCTCATGCATTTCAATAGAAAAGGATGAAAATGGTCTTCCAAGCCATCAGAAATGTACTGGGATTTTCTTGTCCTTGTGTGAATTAAATTATGCTAGCTGCAAATTGAAATGACACTCACCTCCCTTTCCTCCTTTCTGGTTTTCAGAAGGTACTGGATCTTTGCCATGGACTGGGGGTTCTGTGACAAAACCTGGAAAACCAAAAGGAAAGAAGAAGATGTCTTCTGTTCGGCAGAAGTTTGATGTAAGAATACCCTTGGAAAACCACTGTAGAGTGGAAGGTCTGGCACTCCATAAAGGAAGACCTGGATGTAGAATATTGTTTCTTTAATAGCAGGGATGACTGAAGTGCTTTTTCTTATCCCAGGCAAAAGATTTGTTTCAAAATAATAACAATTGGAGTGGAATTACCAGATGGGTCTCTCTCAGTCTGGATATTTATAATTTAATGCTATCTCTAATCTCATGTTCACCTTAAATGGCTGTTAAATGTTTGAAGCAGAAGTTAAATGGTCCTTTGTATTATTCTTATCCTTCTTGGAAGATTGACTTGTTGTGTGAGCTTGGACTGTCCCATTCTGCACTGCAGCTGAACTCACTGAGTGAATGGAGATGATGATGATTTTTTTTTTTAATGTAATGTGCTTATTGAGTCTTAAGTTTGATAAGTAAAAAATACTTGGAGTGCCTTGGTTGCAGCAGGGGTATCATGGGGTTGGGGTGGGAAAAGCACACAAGATCTGATTTTTCCTTACAGTAAAGCCTTTTTATATTGCTCCAACATTATAAACTGTTCTCACTTTGCATACAAAACCATGAGGCCCATAAACACAAGCTACTAGGTCTGAGGCACATAATCAAGCAATGTCACATGCTGTTCCCAGACAGCTATTTCAAAGGGTTGTAGACACAGCTGAAGCGTAGTTCTGTTGAGAACTCTTCTATTGAGACTGCAAATAATATTTCTTAGTCTTCTCAGCTGTGAACGTCACTGACAGAAATTCTTAAAAGTTGCAATTCAGATAATCTATGGTGACATCTCCTTTAAAATTCCTGCTCAGTAATGCATTGCCATAGAGCAACTATGAAAATAGCAGTATGCATGTTTGATAGTCATCTTGCAATTAGGTTTACTTAAAAAACGAGTATATAATAAATTGTGTGTCAAGTATATATTTATATATGTTTCAGTAATATATGCTAGTGTAGTACTGAATAAAGGCTTTCTCCAGGTGAATTTGGGGTAAGACTGTTCACAAATAGTGAAGCAAAACAAAAATGGTGTGCTTTAAAAATTCTAAGTTTCTCAGTTCAGCTAGCACCCAAAAGTTTAAGCAATAGAGGAGATTTCTTTTCATGATTCTGGGGAGTGTGTGGGAGGAATTAATTTGCTAAGCAGGGAAGGAGAAAAGGAATGCTTTTGTACTCTTGTTCTTTCTCTGGACTGTGTATTTTTTGGTCCCCACAAATAACTTCAAGAAGCCTACCTTTGCTTTTAGTAGCTTTTTTCACTGTCATGAAATAAACAGGATTCTTGGTGGTTTCTTAACTGATTCCAAACATTTTGAGTTGCAGTTAAGTAACTATCCAGATGTGTATTAAGTCTGCCTTGTGTTGTTCCCAAATCTGCATATGTTCTTTGCAGCAGAAGTTAAATTTTGAAGGGTAGACCTATCTACTATGTGGGCTAGAAAATTATCTAAAATGGAAGCAAAAGCTCTCAGACCTACCAGGGGATCAATTTCTCCCTCATCATTTGTGTATCAATATTTTTTTAAACTTGTTTAAATGAACAACATCAGTTGATTTTTGGTTCTTTTCCTATTGTAGAATGCTTTTATATGTGTCTCCGTTACAATAAATAATTAAGGTGTGATATTTTGTCATCACTTCACCAGTACTGAAAAATAGCTGCTTCTGGGGTAGGACATAACAGTTCTTCAGCAACACACAGTAAGGGCTTAGGATGGGAAGAATATAATACCCAGGACTGGAATTGGGTCAAGTTACTAAGTTTTAAATGCCTACAGGATTATGAAAAATATTGTAGGATCTTTAATAGGCAAGTGGGTTCAAGATCTTGGTTTTACATTTTAAATAGCCAGGAAATTACTGGAATAAATGAAAAAAGTCAGTTGCAAACAGCTGGAGGAGAAAAGGTTGGTCAGAAGCAGCCAGCATAGGTTTGTTGAGAGCAAATTGTGGTAAGCCAACTTTAACCTCTTTTTGACAATTAACTAGTTGGGTAGATGAAAGGAACATAGTGTACTTGAATATTAGTAAGGCTTTTGATAAAGTCCCACAAGCTCTTGTAAGCAAACTGGAGAAATGTGGGTGAGAAAATTTTACAAGGTGGATAGTTAATTAGTTTGTTAACTACAAGCAAAGGGTAATTATAAACAGATCGATGTCAAAATGGCAAGTTTCAAGTGGGGTCCCACAGGGGTCTGTCCTGGATCCAGTACTGTTTAATGTTTGTTAATGCTTTAGATGCTGGTAAAGTTTGCAGATGGCCCACAACTGAGAGACAGCAAACACTTGGAGGATAGAGGTGTCTCGGACGGCCGGAGCCGACTCGAGATGATTCAAATATCACTCAGTCGTTTGGGCGGGCTGGTGAATGGAGAGGCAGACACAGCTTATTGGTTGCAAAAACTTTACTTACGCCGCTTGTAGCCGCGATGCAGGTGGTCCGGTCGCTTGAACAACTATGTGAGTTGCTCCAGCTGGCAAGGCTCAGGCCAGCTAATCCGTCCACAAATTAAGCCGGCAGGGAAAGGGTACGTTGAGGATTGCGCTCGGCGACAGGGAGAAGAATCGATAGATGATCAGTCTATCAATCAGCTCAGCCGCAAGTCAGATCTCTTTAGAGGCACTCTGCAGCGTGCTCAAAGTTCTCCGACTTGGGCGGAAGTCGCACGAAATTTTAAATGGCCAGTGAGCCAATTACTAGCTGCCATGTAGGAATAATTTAGAACTGGCCAATAGCGGAACACAAATTTGCATTCAAATGGCAGGAACTCTCTTGCACCGAGGTTTTTCTGTTGCAACAAAAACCTTTTGCTGTGCAAGAGGCTCTTGTGTGGTGGGAAAATTCCATCGTACCGAGGCACCAAAATCACTGGGTTGTGACA